TTTACACTTTGTTATAGTTTTCTGATCATTTAAAACTACATTATCTTAACTCTCATACCAAATTTAATAAAAGCGTCATGTGGATTGATGTAGATATAAATAAAAATGCCAATTTATCTATTCTAACGACAGCAACACTACATTATCTAAGAAGTTGCCTTCAGTTGTTTGAAATCATTAAATATTTCGGTTTTACTTAGTCAACTGTGACAGACACTGACAGGTATTTCTCTTTTTGAGGTCTATACCAAATAGTTCTACTTAAAATAGCAGTGGTTGAGTCAATATCTGAAAATACGTTATGAGAGAGCATGAAATGACTCACAAAATGGAAAACAAATGAAGAAGCCAAAAATTCTACCTTAAAAAATTGTAAATCGTATACAAATTAAAAAGTATGCATCTATCCCCACTAACTCTTACTCACCCCTGGAGTGCATCTTTGGCTCTCAAATATTCTGTACTGATACTCTGTAATTTTATATTAATGAACGTGCTTCAGTCACGCCTGTTATTTTTCAGTGTGCCATGAAGATGCTAAATACTCACTTATACAGAACTTTAAGTCTAGTTTATGTGTCCAACTATAGGTGTACAAGGAGCCCTAGTGGCACGGTGGTTAAGCACTTGGCTCCTAACTAAAATGTCGGTGGTTCGAGCCCACCAGCTGCTCTGTGGGGGACAGAAGAGGCAATCTGCTTCCATAAGGATTTACAGCCTTGGAAACCCTATGGGGCAGTTCTACTCTGTCCTATAGGGTTGCTAGGAGACAGAATCGACTAGACAATGGGTTTGGTTTTTGTATAAACCAGAGATGATAACATTTACAGCATTGAGTCTGCTTTCACTTCCACTCCTTTCTTTGAAGACTATATAGTTGCTTCTGAGATCCCTCTTCACTACCCCATCTCTTTTTTTCTTTCTTCATATCCTTGGTAGAAAATGTAAATAGTTTTTCATCTAGCAGCAAATGGCAAGAAGCTTCTCTAGGTTTCACTAGCACATGGATTATAGCTTGTTTCAGAGCTTAACTCTTGTTCCTAATAAGAGTTCTCTTCTGCATTATATAAAGACCCCAGCCATCCCATTTCTTGAGTTCTGCTAGAAATTCCAAAGTAGTTCAAACACCATCTGCAGTTCTCTTCGTGGAAGCTTGTCTGTCTAATGTGTCAGAGTTGGGCTAGGGCACTTTAATGTCCTCTGCCTGCTGCTCAGACCACCCAGAGAGTGAAACTGATGCCCTTGACTTCAGGCAGCCTTCTGGCATCCTCTATCTCTCTGTTGCTGCACCTGCCCCCGAGGTCCTGGCCCCACCTGCCTCTAGATCTGGGTCATCTGTAGTCACTGCTAGCACCAAGGGGCGGGGTGGAGGGGATTCTTTCTTGTGTTCTATTCTTGGAAAGGCAGGATGGGGGTTATTCAGTTATTAATATTCATCTTTATTTTATTCTGAATGCACATACAAAGTGTTCTGGATTAGGGGTTTCCCCCTTTTTAAAAATTAATTACTTTATAGTAAATAATAAGAGCATTAGACCTCTTTCCTCAGACCTTCCCTCTGGGGCAAAGCGATGAAAGCCAGATAGGAAGATCTCCTCCAGAAATGGCCAACAGTTCCTAGGTGGGGGATAGAGAACAATGGGTTTTCTCCTTTTACATACATGAGAGAGAGAGAGCTGGCCCATCATTTCATGAAAGGAGAGGAAAACTACAACAAACCTTTGCTCTCTAGAGACAGGATAGAAAGGATCCTGGAGTCTTACCTTAACCTTCTGGAATGTAAATATATTTTGTCCAAGGGCCAGATAATCCCCAGGTGTCTCTGGCTTTTACAATCTGGAGACGTCTCCAAGGTCTGGGCTTCATCCCTGCTGAAATGTAAACGTGTAGGGAGAGCAGCCTTCCTTGCACCTTGGGGGCTTAACCTAGGGACCTAGTCTAGATTGCTAGAAAAGGACATCATGTTTAGTAAGGTAGAGGGTCAGCGAAAGTGAGCAACTAATAACAACAGCAGTATCCTTCCAGGTCACAGCAACTAACTAGACAAATGGCTGCAGATCTGATTCTCACGGTAGGTGAAGAGTAACATGCTTCTACAGTAAGTGAAAGCAAACATTCCTTATCTGTGTATCTTACACATTTCTGAGTCTTGGGAGACTAGGGCTTTTTACAGGAACACTGAGAAATCCACAGAAGTTTTATTTCCCCAAAGGAGGACTGTGTCATGATCTCAAAGCAGGATTGTTTGAATACCTAATAATACAGGTTTTGTGGTTTGTGGTGGTTTTTTGTTTCTATGATTTAAAAAAAAACAACAATTTTCCATCCACGTAGTTTTCTCCTACCTTGGAAACTAGGGTGGGGAGTGGTGTTAGTGTCTCAGGCTGCACTGCTTCTTCACTTCAAGTTTTATTCTGAAGGGCAATGGGTTTCTCTATATATGGCCTTTCTGACTTTGGGTTTGTAGTTCTGCTAAGATGATTTGCTAGGCCACACCCTTGCAAAGGGATTGGTTAGTCCACTATGCAAATAAGGTGTGCAAAACCCCTAAAGGGATTGGTTGATTACTATGCAAACTAAGTGTCTGTGGCCTACTGATGGGATTGATCAGTTTTGCCATCCTGCTAGGCTTAAAAGAGTCAATCCCACAAAGTTTGAAGGGGACCTCACTACCATCAAGAAGAGCTGGGAGCAGAGTGTGTCCTTTGGGCTCCAGTCCCTGTGCTGAGAACCTCCTAGACCCAGAAGACAGAGAGCTATAACACTGGAGGTGGCGGGAGATGGCACTAGACAGCACAGCAGCACTAGGGACAGTGGAGCGAAATGGCTGTGGTGAGCTTCACGACCCACAGATGAGAGAGCTGACCACCATCGGGCAGGAGGCTTCCTGGCAGAGTGGGGTGCCTCCGGGCACTTATCAGGGAGCTAAAGAGTTGTAACATTTGTCCAAGAAGAGCAGCAGGTCTGAGCAGAAGAGCCCAGTGGCAATAAGAGCTGACAGCTGTTTTGGTTGGAAGATGTCTTGACTGAAGAACTGTATCCTGTCTTCTGAGTTGTTCCTGTTACTTCCAAGTTGGTCCTGATCCTAAATTAGAACCTGTTACTTCTCTAATAAACTCCCTAATCATGAATATGGTCTGTGTGTTCAGTGGGGCCATTTCAACAAATTATGAAACCCAGCAGAGAAGTATAGAAAGTGCTGGGGGAGGGGCAGCTGGTGTCAGAATTGGTAAAAAGGTTGGAGAGTGGAGGTATGTCTGACCTTCACCTCATAGGAATCAGCTTTGGGCTGATGCTGATTATTCTTCCCCCTCATGAACTTAGAGGGCTTCTAACGCTGCCAAGTTGCATACCTCCTATCGGGTTCCATGTTCTCCGTTGCTATAATAACGCTTTCATCAACATCTTCTGTACTCCCATTTTCCTTCTTACTGTCTATAAGCCACTATGACTGGCAGGATTCAAGTTATTTCCATAAATTCTGAAGTTTCAAAAAAATCAGGGGGTATGACTAAATGTGGTGGAGTGTCACCTAACTTCACATGTTGGTGTTCCTGAGCTTTAGCATAATCTTATTTCTTACAAAGCTAGATCCCTTGCAACAAGCATAATTTTCAAAGAATACCTTGCTGTAGACTTCGCCTTCAGAAATTAAGATTCAGTGGATCCCAGAAAACTATATTTTAATTGTCTCAGGTGATTCTACTGCAGCCAATTCATGGACCACCACTTGGGAAGAATTGTTCTAAAGTATCTTGTCTCTGATACTTTACGTTGGTGGGCATAAGAATATTTTTCCTAGCGTTTGTAATGGATCTGCAATATATTTAATGGAGAATTAAAATAACATTTAGCTACAATATAAGTGCAGTTATTATTTAAATACTAGAGATTATGAATAAAATGTATATAGTTTATAGAAATAGAAAGATTGCACATATAATTGTGTCAGCATTGAAGTCACTAAAAACGAAGGTTTTTTTCTTTTCTGAACAGACCATGACATTAATCATGAGTGTTATCATTGTTTGTATCGGATTATTCTTTTAAATATATTTAATATGACTTTTTTTAAAGATACTGTTTTCTTCCCAATTCATTTTGTATAGAATACTGTCCCCCTCTTCCCTGGTCTCAATAAAGCAACTAACTCATATTGCAAGGTTTTTGTTATCTTGTAGACAGCATAAATTGTGATTTCAGATTTTACAGGTGAGAAGCATTGATGTGGATGAGGAATGATGGAAGGCTGCTTGGTAAATGATGGTCCTCTCGGCTGAGAACATGGCTACGTAGACTGAGTTAGAGAGGAGGGCAGGGATGGAAAGAAAAAGTTAAGCCTTAGAGATAAAACATAAATAATAACCCTGGGTGATGCAAATGGTTAATGTGTTCAGCTGCTAACCAAAAAGTTGTAGGTTTAAGTCCACCCAGAAGCACCTTGGGAGAAAAATCTGGAGATCTACTTCTAAAAAATCATCTGTTGAAAACTCTTTGGAGCACAGTTCTACTCTGACACACACGGGTTCACCATGAGTCAGAGTCAACTCGACAGCAGCTGGTTTTTAACTATAAATCTAGAATATATAGAAATATCTATTTCCATATATTTCTATCCACTACCCATCTGTCAGCTTGTCATACTGTGGTAGCTTGCATGTTGCTATGATGCTGGAAACTATGCCACCAGTATTTCAACTATCATCGAGATCACCCACGGTGGAAAGATTTCAGTGGAGCTTCCAGACTAAGACAGACTAGGAAGAAGGGTCTGGTGATCTACTTCTGAAAATTAGCCAATGGAAAACCTATGGATCACAGCAGAATACTTCCCATATACTGCTGTAAGATGAGCTCCCTCAGTTGGAAGCTCACTAAAAATACACAGTGGCCACAACAACAGACTCAAGGATACCAGTGATCATGAAGATGGTGCAAGACTGGACAACCTTTCTTCTCTTGTACATGGGGTTGCCATGGATTGGAACCAACCTGGTGGTAACCAACAACAACACATGTTTCTATATATTCTAAAGTACGTGTACAGATAATATATAGAATACATTCAGAATGTAAAGCTCTATTCTAAGTGCTTTACTTGAAGTGTCTCATTTATTACTCATAATAATCATACGAGGTTATACTATTAACAGCTTCATTTTACAGATAAGAAAACAGGTCTAGGAAAGGCTCAGTAGCTTGCCTAAAGTCACAAAGCAGACAGCAGATTACTTTTCAGCAGGCTGGGTGGCTACACAATCAGTCAAGACAATGTTAGAAAAGATTTGAAAGTGCCATAAGTAAAATTACACAGAGATAATATATAAAATGCATATAGTTCATAACAACACAGCAAGATTGCTTATACCATAACTGTATTGCTGGATGAGAAATCCAGGGAGAGAGAAGCAATCTTGTAGGAAACGTCAGAAGCAATCCTGTAGGTGGCTCAGAAGAGGCAGAAATGGGCATTTATCTGTACTTCGGATGCTGGATAACCTTGGGAACCAATTCAGAAAGAACTTTCTAACTTGGCCTAGCAAAAGAAACAAGGAAGTAGCTAGAAGATAAAGTTCGAGACGACTGTAAAAGCCTGATGTGTGTACTAAGACAAAATTAGGAAAAAACTGCTTCCCATTTATTTAGAATAAAATCCAAATTCCTTAACATGGGCTGTATGCACTCATAGGATAGCCACTGAATTTATCATTCAAACCAGGACATTTCTGAAAGTGAAAGAGGGAACTATTACAATTTTTCCAGGACAGCCTGGTTAAACTAGGATAGTACTGGGCAAACTGAACATACGAATGCCTTTGCAATAAGGCCCTATGTGATCTGACTCTTGTCTTCTGTCATCCTTCCTCTTCCTTTATCTTATTGCCCTTCTTCCCTTTCTTTGAACATACCCACCTCCGAGCTCATTCTTACTCAGAGACTCCACACATATCTTCATTCTGTCCTGCTCTGCCCTTCTCTCTTTGCCTGGCTAACAAATGATCTATGTGGTGGTCACTGTTGGTCACCTACTCAGCATCCATTTCTCCCTTCTTCTTTCCTACTACTACCTTGATTTTGTCCAGCCCTCCCTCACGTAACTGCTGTAATTTGAGGAATCTGACCAAATCCTTAGTCCAGGAGAGAACATTGACTAGAACAAGTCAATCGTATGGTATTCCTCTGACTGGACAATGACTTAAGAGAGTGTATTATTAGGAGTTGCATGTGGCAGACAACACCTCCAACCTAGTGGGTTGAACAAAATAGAAATTTAGTTCTCTCATTTAAAAGAAGTAGGAGGGAGATGGTCAAGGGCTGGTATGGTGCTGCAGGTGTCAGGCACTTAGGATCCATGTTGCTTGGCCATCTTCGATATGTGGTTGCAGAGCTTCAGCCATCATGTCTACAAGAAAGGAAAAAGAAAGGTGCACACCGTCCTTGCAAGGATGTATCCTAGAAAGGACACAAATTACTTCTGGGTACATCTCATTGCTAAAAACTTAGTCACAAGGCCACATCTAGCTATAAAGAAAGCTGAGAAATGTAATCTTTATTCCAGGTACATATGTGCCCAGCTAAAAATGAAGATAATGGATGTTGATGGGTGCCTTAGTTTTCTAGTGCTGGTATAACAGAAATATCACAAGTGAATGGCTTTAATAAACAAAAATTTATTCTCTCACAGTCTAGGAGGCTAAAAGTCCGAATTCAGGGTGCCAGCTCCAGGGGAAGGCTTTCTCTCTCTTTCTGGGGGAAGGTCCTTGTCATCAATCAAGGTCAAGGAGCTTCTTTCTCAATGCAGGGACCCTGGGTCCAAAGGATGTGCTATTCTCCTGGCTCTTGTTTCTTGGTGGTATGAGGTCCCCATGTCTCTCTGCTCCCTTCTCTCTTTTATATCTCAAAAGATTAGTTTAAGACATAACCTAATCTATTAGATTGAGTCCTGCCACATTAACATAACTGCCTCGAATCCTGCCTCATTAAAATCATAGAGGTAGGATTTACAACAAGTAGGAAAATCACATCAGATGACAAAATGGTGGACCATCACACAATACTGGGAATCATGGCCTAGCCAAGTTGACGCACATTTTTGGGGGACGCAATTCAATCCATAACAGTGGACAACTGGCAGTCTTTCTGTCACAGTGGCCTAATGTGACTGAAGGGAAGGGCTTATTCTGTAAGCTTATTTCTTTTTCTCTCTCCTGCTGCACGTGAACAAGAATACAAGTAATCCTAGTTGCAACCATTTTTCATTAAGTGAAAGAGAAATAAGCTTCTATTTTGTCTCAGACATCTTGTAACCATAAAAAGATTCAGTCTTAAAAGGAAACTGAGTCAAAGAAAAAAGAACCCAGCCCCTAATAACATACTTGAGCCACTGATTCCACCAACTGTGAATCCTGCTCTACCTCTCAATGACTGAGCATGAGAGATTTACTTATTGTTTAGCCCACCTTCGTTCAGAGCTTCTGTTTCTTCTGATGCTTCCAGCAACCTAACTGAATTCCCTATACCCGTTGCCGTTGAGTCGATTCTAACTCATAGCGACCCTATAGAACAGCGTAGAACTGCCCTGTAGGGTTTCCAAGGAGCAGCTGGTGGATTCAAACTGCTAACTTTTGATTAGCAGCTGAGCTCTTAACCACTGCACCACCAGGGCTCCAAATTCCCTATAGGGTCCCCTAAACACTCAAAAGATGGTCAGCTCTGTTATAATCTCTCTTAGCAATCCCTTCTTTTCTTTCACAGCACTTACTACCAATTTGAACCATTGATTTTTTGTTTAAAGTCTCTCCTCCACTAGGCTGTAAGTCATGACATTTAGGACTAGGTCTGCTTTGTCCATTATTGTATACCTAGTGAATGAAATGCCTAGCACAATGTTTGGCATAGATTGTTGTTAGATACTGTTGAGTCGGTTCCAACTCATAGTGACCCTGTGTCCAACAGAACAAAACACTGCCCGGTCCTGAGCCACATTAGGCACACATTAGGCTTTTAAATAAATACTATCTAAAGACAGGAGCCCTGGTAGTGCAGTGGTTAAGAGCTTGGCTGCTAACCAAAAGGTCAGCAGTTCAAATCCACCAGCTGCTCCTTGGAAACACTATCAGGCAGTTCTACTCTGTCCTATAGGGTCGCTATGAGTCAGAATTGACTGGACGGCAAAGGGTTTGCTTTTTTGGTATTATAAAGATAAGGTGCCCTGGTGGTGCAGTGGTTAGGTGCTTGGCTGCTAACAGAAAGGTCTGTGGTTTGAAGATGATGGTGATTAATAAACCTTGTTCATTCAAAGAGATCTCTTCTATAGGCAGAGCTAGAACTACAAAAAGTAATGCTGAAGGGGAATCAGGGGAGTCATTTTCTCCTTTATCTTGCTTTTTTTTTGGTCATATACTATTTATTATTTCAACTATACCAGACATCTGTTCTGTCATGGATTGAACTGTGTCCTCCAAAAATATCTGTCAACTTGGCTAGGTCATGATTCCCAGTATTGTATGATTGTCTACCATTTTATCATCTGATGTGATTTCTGTATGTGTTGTAAACTCTATCACTATGATGTAATAAGATGGATTAGTGGTAGTCATATTGATGAGGTCTACAAGATTAGGTAGTATCTTAAGCCAATCTCTTTTGAGATATAAAAGAGAGAATTGAGCAGAGAGGCATGAGAACCTCATACCCCCAAGAAAGCAGTGCCGGGAGCAGAGCACGTCCATTGGACCTGAAGTTCCTGTGCAGAGAAGCTCCCAGACCACGGGGAGATTGATGACACGGACCTTCCTCCAGAGCTGACAGAGAGAGAAAGCTTTCCCTGGAGGTGATGCCCTGAATTTGGGCTTGTAGCCTACTAGCCTGTTAAAGCCATCCATTAGTTGTATTTCTGTTATAGCAGCACCAGATGACTAAGACATGTTCTGTAGCTTTGTGTGGCCTCAGATTTGTAAGTGGGCTAGTTATAGCCGCAGTTTGGTCTGAGACTACAGGTGATAGTCACAACAGCAGCGTCAGTGGTTGTGCTGCTGTTTTCACTCAGCACCGCAGGTTCAGTGAGTGTATAAATGGGACTTGCGTAGCTCTAGCAGTTTCTTATGGCCCATTACCCTGTGGCAGCCACAGCTTCCTAAACACCAGAGATCTTGACTCCTGATCTGCCCCCGATTCACATTTAGCTTTTAGATACATGGTTTTCCTTCTAAGGGCATCTTTCTATAGGAGTTTTCTTTTCTCTACCCCAACCTTTCTATCATTCTTTTACTTCAGGTAATAGAAAATAATTTAAATAATTAACTTCCTATGTTTATATCTACAGATGGCCTCTACTTCTCAATAATTGGAAAATCAAGCCCAATGAGTCCACGTAATTTGTCAAGGTTATGGTTCTAGAAAATGCAACTTTCACAGAAAAGATTTACCAAGAACTATTTCTGCAAGAATTAATGTAAATGGTCAAGATATATCCCCAGAACTCTATTATCTACGTGTTTTACTCTAGAAACACTTTATCCAAATCTTTAACTTTTAAAATGTGTCACACACATAGTGAATAATTCTTACCTTAAAATATTGATTCTAGGATTGATAGAAGAATTGTAAGTTGACTCTCAGATGCTGATCCAAGGGAAGTGGTAAGTGTCAAGTGTGTTCCTTTCCGTCAACCACACGTCTATATCCAAAGGCTCGACGAAGACAGAAAGTGAAGAAATTCAGTCTGTGGTTTAACTAAAGGTTTGCCTCTTCTTTATCCTTGTTTGAGACAATAAGGCAGAAATAATCTATTAATTGCTTTCTTCTAGGGATCTTTGTGTCAAAAATCACTTGGAATCTCTCCCAGCAAAGTTGTTATAAAAGTTACTATCTACTAAATCTGATGGAGCCCTGGTGGTGAAGTGGTTAAGAGCTACGGTTGCTAACCAAAAGGTTGCCAGTCCAAATCCACCAGCCGCTCCTTGGAAACCCTATGGGGCAGTTCTACTCTGTCCTATAGGGTGGCTATGAGTCAGAATCGACTCAAGGGCACAGAACAACAACAACAAATCTGATAACTTACAGTGAAATGTATCGTACAAATGAACAACATAAATGTAGAAGGACACCCAAAAGGGATCATGGATCACTCAGACCTCGTATGCTGATGGTTGCCTGAATCACAACCGCCCTCGCAACACTTCTGGGCACCTGGTCTTGCTTTTCTATGTGGTAAAATCAGTGTTCTTGGAAGGGCTGTTTCTCAGCATCTATTAACAGATCTTATGCCAGGCCACAAGTTCTTTTCTTAGAATACCACATGCCTCATGACTGATTCCCACAACATACGCATGAATAAACCACCAAAGAAGAATTTGTGCCTCAACAATTTCAGTTTTAGAGTACATTCCCAACTCCTGAATGGTACTTTATTCTCCCTTAAGCGGCTGGTGGATTTGAACAGTTGACCTTTTGGTTAGCAGCCGAGCTCCTAACTACTGCACCACAGGCCTCCATAAGGAAGTGTGGTAGTGCAGAGAAACACTGAACAAATTCCAGCTTCCAGGAGCTAAACTCTAATAAGATCTTTTGAAAAAAATTTTTTTTTTCAGAATAGGCATTTCACAGTAAGCATATAAAGAATTCTGTTATTTTCTTATTCATTTCTTTATCAAGATGGAATAATAGAGATGCATGTAGATTTTTAACTTTTAGTATTCTTAGTAATAAAAAAGTATAGGCAGGGTTTTCATATCTTTGTTATATGTTGATTTTAAATTCTTTTCAGCTTCACATCCATAAATAAAGAGCATGACAGTGATAATAGATCCACACAAAGAGTACAGTTGACTATAAAAATGGAGTTTGCCCGAATCGTTCCCCTAGCAGGGAGGTCAGATGAGCTGATTAAGCCACTGAAAGGCTCAATGGTTAAGAATGTGCAGTGAAAGTATTTCCCATCCAATGCTGTGAATGTGTGTGAAATTCAAGATCAAGAATCTAGAGAAATGTGTTGGATGGGTTAACATGACAAGCAGGGCCTGGGGCAGGCATTGGTAACAAGAGAGGAGGAGGCAAGGAATCCAAGGGACAGACAGAATAAGAGCAAGGTATAATCATTAGTTGCTGTCCAGTCAGCTTCAGTTTATGGCGACTCCACATACAACAGAAGGAAACATTTCCCCGTCCTGCACCATCTTCACAATTGTTGCTATGCTCGAGTCCTTTGTTAAAACCACCGCGTATTTGGAGTGCCTTCCAACAACCTAGGGGGCTCATCTTCCAGAACTGCATCGGACAACATTCTCTTATGATCCATAGCATTTTCATCAGCTAATTTTCAGAAGTAGATCACCAGCCCTTTCTTCCTAGTCTGTCTTAGTCTGGAAGCTCTGCTGAAATCTGTCCACTATGGGTCACCCTGGTGGTATTTGAAATACCAGTGGCATAGCTTCCAGCATTACATCAACATGCAAGCCACCACAGTATGGTAGAAAAGCAAGGTAAAATGTCAAATATATGAGCAGAACAGCATCCTGGACAAAATATTTAGTTTATTCATGGGATTTAGGATTTAGGAAAAAAAAACCTCTTCCTTACAGAATAAAATGGGGCTAAGTTTCTGAATACGAAAATTTCAGAAATGGGAGACCGTCCTTGTCAGGTTCTCAAGACCACCCCCACCCAGATTCGGTGATTTGCCAGGACTCAGCGCACAGTTGTACTCCAGGCTAACACTAATTACAGTAAAGGGTACAAAACAACATCAGCAAATACGTGATCCCGACCTACATAATACAGAGTATCATTTATAATCCCTTCTGAAAAATATTTGCAAATTCGAGTCCTCAATGTGCCACTCCCATAACATGCTCCATTGTAGCAACTTCCTCACGTAGCTTGACACGCGTGGACTCTTCAGATATCCCAACAACATACCTGATCAGAATGCTTATCTCTTTAGGTTATCTCCTTTCTACAAAGCTCAATCGTCTATGTGCATACAGCTTTATCTGAAGCATTTTCTCATAAAATGACTCTTTCCTCTTTTTGATACAGAAGCATGTTATTTGCAGATAAGATCAAAACTTTACCCGGTCCTACCATAACAATGGCTGTGGGGGTGGCATCTGACCTCCTCTAACTTCACAAGGGGAAAGAGAAACAAAATCAACAGCCCAAGGCTGATTCCTATGAGGCGGAGGTCAGACATGCCTCCTCTCTCCACCATCTTTACCAATTCTGACACCAACTATCACTCCCACAGCACTCTCTACTTCTCTGCTGGGTTCAGTAATTCATTGCAATGGCTACACAGAACTCACAGACAATACTCACGATTATGGAGTTTATTAAGGAAGTAACAGGTTACAATTCAGGTTCAGGAACATTCAGGCTATAGTTCTTCCATCAGGAAAGCTTCTTCCCAGCTGTGCCTACAGGCAGGCCTCTCTCAGGCCCTCCGGCTCTGCCCTGCTTGGGCAGTGTTAAAAAGTTCTTTTAGCTCTGCCCTGAGACATCCCAATCCACCAGAAGGCCTTGGCCCAAAGGTGCTCAGCTCTAGCTCCATGGGTCAGCAAACCTAGCTCCACCAAGTGCCTGGAGGCACCCTACTCATCCAGCAAGCCTCCTGCCCAAAGGCGCTGAGCTTTCTTGCTCCATGGGCCGGGAAGCCCACTGCACCATCTCCTGCCAGTCTCTCCTGCTGCTGTTTCTCTGCCACCACTTCTCACTATCTTCAGTGTCACGGCTCTCTCTTTCTCTGTCTCCTAGTTCCAGGAGCTTCTCAGCACAGGGATCCTGGGTCTAAAGGATGTGCTCTGCTCCTGTCTGTTCTTCTTTGGTGGTGGTGAGATCCTTTCCTTCCCGCCTCTGGGATGGCTCATTTTAAGCCTAGTGGGATGGCAAAACTGACCAATCCGTTTGGTGGGTCACATTTAACTTGTTTGCACACTCCCGCCCAATCACTTAAGAGAGAGTTACAAGACCATGGAGAGGGAGGCCACATAAAAGTAATTCACTGGACTGCACCTAGACTTCCCCCTCCTCTTCCGAAATATATATAGATGTGCCTTCCCAAACTGACTACTCCATATTTATCAAAGTGCTTGCAAGGCATTCCAGTTGCTCCCCTCATTACTCTAAATAGGTTCTGAGTAGAAATTATCAGAGTATAAGACATTGAGTCAAAATGCCATACATTTTACAAAAAGCTGTAAATGTATGGATTATACCTCAATATAAAGAAAACAAAAGCCCTCACAACTGGACCGATAAGCAACATGATGATAAATGGAAAAAATAATATTGAAGTTGTCGAGGATTTCATTTTACTTGGGTAAAATAATTAATGCTCATGGAAGCAGCAGTCAAGAAATCAAACAACATATTGCATTGGGCAAATCTGCTACAAAAGACCTCTTTAAAATCTTAAAAAGCAAAGATGTCATTTTGAGGACTAAGATGTGCCTGACTCAAGCCATGGTATTTTCAATTGCCTCGTATGCACGTGAAAGCTGGAAAATGAATAAGAAAGACTGAAGAAGAGTCGGTGCATTTGAATTATGGTGTTGGTGAAGAATATTGAATGTACCATGAACTGCCAAAAGAATGAACAAATCTGTCTTGGAGGAAGTACAGCCAGAGTGCTCCCTAGAAGCTTACTTTGCACATGTTATCAGGAAGTACCAAGCCCTGGAGAAGGACAACATGCTGGTAAAGTGAAGGGTCAGCAAAAAAGAGGAAGACCTTCAATGAGATGGATTGACACAGTGGTTGCAACAATGGGCTCCAGCATATCTATTATTCTGAGGATGGCACAGGACCAGACAACATTTTGTTCTGTTATACGTAGGGTTTCTATGGGTCGGAGCCAACTTGCTGATACCTAAGAACAACAACTACAGTATTATTTTAGATATAGCAGACTCAATTCCCTTCTGTGCAATCTTGATATTTGACAAGGTAGAACTGAGTTTAAAAAGCATTAAAAGAAAGAGTCAATTAATGCTGAAGCTACCATTCACAATGAAGATACAACAGTCTTTAATACTTACGTTCTCAGTAACATAACTTTTACAAAGCAGATGCAAGGAGAAACAGACAAAAATACAGTAATGTTGTAGATTTTAACAATGCAAGAAACTCGAGAAAACAAAAAACTTATAAGGATACAAAAGACATAAACAACATGATCCAAAAGGTAGAGCTGATGGATATATATCAAACTCCGTATACCAATAATAGAAAATGCACCATGTTTCCAAGTGCACGTTGAATATTCACAAAAAGTGATATCTTAGGCACAAAGAAAACCTCAGTAATCCAAAGAATAAACAGTATTCTCTGTCTACTTTAAATAAACCAGACATTAATTTAAAACAATCAAACAGAAAAATGTCCTTCTCCATGGAAATTTAAACACACACATAAAAACTACTCTTTAGTCAAAGGAGAAATACAATATTTAAACACAATATATCAGAAATTTCAGGATATAGCTAAAGTAGTTATCATAACAATAAAAATGAAAATATATCAATTAAATATCCACCCCCAAAAGTTAGAAAAAAAACAAAAAACAAAACCCTGTGGTATGAAAAAGAATTTATAATGTTAAAAGCAAAAATTAATGAATTAGGAAAAAAAATAGAATTAATTAGTAAATACAAAAGCTAATTCCTTGAGAAAAATTAAAAGAAATAAAACACTGATTAAAATAATAAAGGAGAAAGGGTAGAAGGCATTAAGAAAGAATTAACAATAGCCATCAAAATAGAAAAACAGTATCCCAGAGGAATTGCTACCAAAATTTTAAAGATCAGATAATCCCAATGTTACTTAAAATATTCCAGTGCATAGAAAAAGAAGGAAAACATACAAATGCATGTTCTATTTTGAGTGTAATATTACAATCAAAAAAGAAAACCACTAGTCAATATCTGTGAATATTGATGACAAAAAATTTAAGGAGAGCCCAAGATCATATTAAAAAATAATGTATTGTGACCAAATGGAGTTTATTCCAGGAAAGCACCATGGTTCAATATTAGAAAATCCATTCATATAATCTATCATATTAATAGAGCTTGGGATAAATATCATATGATCACCTCTAAAGATGGAGAAAGTACATCTGAAAACAATTCAACACTTGTTCGTAGTAAGACAAAACAAAATCTCTCAATAAAATAGGAATTAATGGATGGGCAGTAGGTAAGACCTCAGCTGCTAATCAAAGGTCTGCAGTTCGAATCCACCAGCCACTTCTTGGAAACCCTATGGGACACTTCTACTCTGTCCTATAGGGTCACTATGAGTCGGAATTGACTCGTCGGCAATGGGTTTCGTATTGGTTTTGGTTCCTTAACATTAATATATAATATATATTATATAATGACGTATGTACACACGCACACCTCCATCCCAATGCCAGCATTTTACCTGATGGAGAAATGAAAAGAACTTTCCTCCTAACACCAGGAGCAAGACAAGTGTACCAGTTGTCTTCATTTCTATTGATCATTGTGTAGGAAGTATTAACCACTGTAGTTAGACAAGAGGAAACAATTAGAAGTATAAGAATTAGAAAGGAAAAGGTAAAATCATCTGTAGTGTAGATGACATGATGGATGGAAAATCCAAAGAAACAACTGTAAAAAATACAACAGAATAAGAGAATTCAGTATCCCACCCTATCCTGCTCCTTCTGTAGACTTATATGTGTTTTTGGCATGACCAGTTACTCAAGTCCAAACATGGGGTCATAACAACAACATTAATTTCATTTGTGCTTTCACAGTCTGCTTTCAGTCTGCATTTTGCAGACACTACTCCTATCTGAAGTTCCTGGGTGATATCAGCTGTTTGTGATCAGCTGCTAACCTTAAAGGTTGGCATTTGAACCCCACCCAGCAGCTCCTGGAACTGCTTCTGTAAAGATTGTTGTTCTTGTTAGGTACCATCGAGTTGGTATCAACTCATAGCGACCCTCTGTACAACAGAATGGAACACTGCCTGGTCCTGCATTGCCCTCACAATTGTTATGCTTGAGCCCATTGTTGCAGCCACTGTGTCCATCCATCTCGTTGAGGGTCTTCCTCTTTTTGGCTGACTCTCTACTTTACCAAGCATGATGTCCTTTTCCAGTGGCTCATCCCTTGGTTTACAGCCAAGAAAACCCTATGGAGCAGTTCTCAGTAACACATGGGATTATGCTGAGTCAGAATCGACTGGACTCACGGCAGGGGGCTTGGTGTTTTTGCTCTTTACCCCATCTAAGAGTTGCTAGAGGAGCTAGAGGAGCCCTGGTGGCACAGTGGTTAAAGCACTTGGTTGCTAACCATAAAGGTCAGCAGTTTAAACCCACCAGCTGCTCCACGGGAGAAAGATGTGGCAGTCTGCTTCCGTAAAGATTACGGCCTCGAAAACCCTATGGGGCAGCTCTCCTCTGTCCTGTAGGGTCACTATGAGTTGGAATCGACTCAATGGCAATGAGTTTAGCTTTTTGGTTTTTTATGCAGTTGCTATGTTATATGATTTTGTCTCTGAAATGTCCCTCCTATCAGTCTTCCTTTTTCCAGTCCTGCTGTCACCATCCACAGTCACTTACCCTCCACATGTAACTCATGGTAGACAGTTTAATAACTCTATTTTTCTAATTTCCTATGGAAAGTCACAATTTCTTGGCCTAGTTTTCTACAATAGTCCCCAAGTCACCTTTGCAGCCTTATTTGTGCATAATCCTTTATGTGTACGCTCTTTAGCTGGACCAGACTACTGGGTATCTCTTAGACATATTGTACTTGCACTTCAGTATCACTTGGAATAGTCTTTCTGAGCATCCTTTCTCTAAGCCATCCTATAATAGAATAATAGTCAACATGAGCTGTACAGGCTCTGTTCAATATCTTACATACACTGCTTTGTCCCTTATCACCACCGATGTGATTTCTTCCTCCTTTGAAATCCACAGCACTCTGTACCTTTCCTTGGTATTTATATCTATTGTAGATTTCAGAGTTTTGTGTTATTATATTAACTCTCTTAGATTATAAACTTCATCAGGGTAGACAGTAATTAATACACATCCATTACTTGCAGCACAGTAGGTATTCAATAAATATTTTATTGAATAAACTATGGCTGTCTGGGAAGATAAAAACTAAGGTTTTAAACTCAACTAAGGATCTCCCCTTAGTTCATAGTTTACCCATTTTTCATTACGTGAGTCTGTTCCATTTGAGCAGGGTTTTGCCTTATTAACGCTGCATTCTCAAGATCTAGAACTGTATCTGGCACGTGGTAGGCATTTAGTAATAATCCTACCTGTAGGGCACAATTAACTGAATGATAACGGATAATGCAAAATAGCAAAAGCTCAACAATAGAAAATAAAAACCAGCATCAGGGTCAGATCTTCAGTTTCTGGGTGTTCTTAACTTCTTTACGTTTATGGACTCAAAATTAAAAACTACGTATTTCATCGGATCACTGGACCCTCTCAATTCCATTTTTTTAATTACAAAAATCCCCAGTATGAAAGAAACAACGGTGTTGGCAGACTATATTCAAGGTCAATTGGCTCAGTCTGAACCCCTAAAGCCCCTCAGGGTATTGCGAATTTGCTGAAATAATCCCACTATTTATTGATAGCTTGTCAATTTTAAATTCTCATCTGAGGTTCTGTATGGCAGTTTCACAGCCATTATCTTTTTTGAGCCTAAGAACTCAGTGAGGGCATCCTTTTAGTTATTGGATATCCCCCACCCCCGATAAAATGCAAATATTTAGAATTCCTACCATCAACTCTTGGCTTCTATAACAGCAAGACGCAAGGCATGAATAGGAAAAAGGACTAAGGCTGTTAAGTGGAAAGTAAGGTAAAGGCGGACAGCTGGTGCACTTGATCGCTTTTAGGGACCCGGTTGACCCCATTTCCTCCCTCTGCCCTCACCCTTCAAAAAGCTGAAATCTTAAATTTGACCACGTTTGATAAAGAAGATCAATCGGTTTGTAAAGAACTCCTTCCAAACACGACACGTCAGGACATACTCCAAACCAGCTTGCTTTTCTGCCAGTTTTAATTGCAAATTCATGGAACATAAGCAATCAAGATGCCACAGTCTAGACGCCCTGATTTAAGAACCGAGAAAAGAGCGCGGGCGACCGTTAATCTCTTCTCTGGGCGAAGGCGGCAGCGGAGGCGAAGACAAGACCGGCGGAGGCGGGGTTTCCTGAATGAAACCTCGCCCCTCCCCTACTCATCGCTGATTGGCGGTGGCGATAATCCGCGGAAAAAGGGGCGGACCTCTCCCTTTCCGCGCAGTCCACCGGCTTGGTGGGTGTGTGCGGGAGGCGGGTGCGCGCGCGCGCGCTCGCTCGCGTCGGAGGAGCGGATAAGAGGCGGGGCCGCAGCGGCGCGCGCTCCCGGAACGCGCGCACCACAGGCGGCGCGGTTCGCTAGGAGCCGGTCAGGGGAGCCCGGTGTGCGTGTAGAGACAGGGCTCGTGGGAGACCGTCGCGATGAACACGGTGCTGTCGCGGGCGAACTCGCTGTTCGCCTTCTCGCTGAGCGTGATGGCGGCGCTCACCTTCGGCTGCTTCATCACCACCGCCTTCAAAGACCGGAGCGTCCCGGTGCGGCTGCACGTCTCGCGGATCATGTTGTGAGTGCGGCCGAGGCCGGGCGGCGGGGAGGGGCGCCTAGACCGGGCCGGGTGGGGGCCGAGGCCGGGCTGCCGCGCCGGGGCCGCGGGCGAGGTGTCCGCGCCTCCCCGGGGAGCCCCCTCCCGAGCGGCCGCTCGCCCCAGCGCAGGCGTTCGGGGTGGGCCTTGCGGGCTCCCCGGCTTCCCTCGGAACTCCCAGAGCTCACCCGTCCACCGTAAATTCCCGGGCTGGCTCTTAAATTTTAATTTTGAGTGTTCCTCAGGTCAGTGCCTCCGCTTCCTTCCTGTTCCTCACTTCCCTCCACCCACGCCTGGCCAATGAGGGTGCAACACAACAGCACAGCCGGCGCCGCGCCGGCTCGCGCCTCCGGCTCCGCCGCGGGCCCGTCGGGGTGCGCTCGCGGGCCGGGGGGCTGCTGCGTCTGTTCGGGCCAGGCGTCCCCGGGCCCTCCCGGCAGCTCTGTTAGGCTTGAGGCTGGAGAAACGGACTGCTTTTGTGTCATTAGCAAGCAGAGTTTGTCCTGTTTGACGTTTCCTTTACAGTTTTTGTGTTTCCACCTTCAAAAGACAGTAAATGCTTGGAGCTGCCTTAAAGTTAGCAGGAGATCTTAGGATGTACTGAGAGAATCAAACATCTTAGCTTTCTGATGGTTACAGGGTGTGTGGGTGACTTTTAAAGAGCTAATCGTCTGAATAAATCTGAAAATGCCAAAAATACAGTTTCGGAGTGACCGTGTCCTATCGCTGTTGCTTTTTTTTTTTTTAACCTGATAATGTTTTGTTCTCTAGCTTTTTCTTTGATACATACCTTTTTTTTTTTTCCTGCTGGTACTCATTTCCGTCTACTCGATTCCATCTTGCAACAATTCACTCTTTGTTCTTCAATCTTAGTTTTCTTTATTTCTTTGTCAGAGTCCCCAACATGCTAGTCATTAATGTCCCCCCTCCCCCTTTTTTGGTGCTGTCTTGATGCTTGTTAGACACTATTCGAGATTCACATTGACCTTGGGTGGAAATCAGCACCGGAGCTCTTTCAGCCCAGTGAGTGCTTAGTTAGAGAAGAGCTTGACATAGTAAACATCCAACAAATGTTAGCTATTGTTACCTTGAGCAAGTTTCTTATCATTCTGGACCTTAATTTCCTTTTGTTTAAAATGGAAGTAATACCAAGTCGTATGCTTGATGTGAAGGTCGTTTAAAATAACTGAGAAATAGTGCACCTAGCACAAAGTAAACCAGAAACCAAATCTGTTGCCCTAGAGTCTATTCCAATTTATAGCGATTCTACAGGAAGAGTAGATCTGCCTCAGCAGCTGATGGGTTTGACTGCCTTGGGTTAGCCGCTGAGTGCTTAACCACTGCACCACCAGGGCTCCTCGGAACAAAGTGAGTATTCAATAAATAGCAGCTGTTACCGTTTCATCTTCGTATTCACACCACCCTGTATTTGTATGTAACTTTCTTCCATCCATTTAATCAAATTGCTTTACACGGAACATTTGCAGTTTCTTTTAGCGATTTTCATTATCCCAGGTTTTTTGTTTTTTATTTAGGGATTCTTGTAAAGGGATATGAAACTAGCTGAAGTCCTCCTTTTATTTTAGATTAGAATGTTTACCCTGCTTGTACACTTACAGGTTTCTTTAGTTTTTGCTTTTTTCTTTGTGGAACTGCTGTTTGACCTGCGCGCACAACTAGATCCTTTCGCTTTAAGGAATTATGGGCATGTGAATTTTGTATGTTGTTATATTTGAAGGATGGTAAAACTTTTATCTTCTAGAAAAAATGTAGAAGACTTCACTGGACCTAGAGAAAGAAGTGATCTGGGATTCATTACATTTGATATAACTGCTGATATCCTTTAAGAAAACAATTCATTACTTTTTCTGTAGTTTTATAATGAGATAAGTGTTGCTTAGTGATTTTGGGGACAGGGAATGTGACTATCCAACTGAATCAACTGAACCTTGAAAATTTCTTTGCCTATGTTTTCATCAGTAAAGTAGTATTAATATGTCCAGAAAACTTTCTTTTTTATAGATTTACGAGTTAATATTGTATTAACGTACTTTAAATTCTTCAAAGAAACAGATAGACCAGAGCTACAAAAGAGAGTTTGAATTTGTGATTTGGAAAGAAAAAGTAACATTAGATCATTTGAATTAAAGAAGGAAAAATGGTAAGTGTTTGGCCTGCCTAGAAAGAATATTTCATGTCCAGTCCCAAATAATATAGCCCTATTTTGTGATAGCAGAGAGAAACACATGTTAAAGTCAGTTGTAGCTGTTATGTGTACGTTGGTCATTATGAAAATGATTGTTGGTAAACCATATTAGCAGTTTTCTTTTATAATTCTTTTTCTAAAGATTTTTATAATAAGGATCAGAGAAATCTGAGCAATTAAAAGTTACTTTGAAATGAGTATGATTTAAATATTTCTCTTTATTTTTAGTTTCTACCTTTTGACAACTCTGATCATTTTGACCAGTTTACTCTTCCTTTAGGATCTTCGGTTAATATCTTGGCGGTGTTGTTCTCTGTCACTTTTAGCCTGATGTCACCTACCTTTTTAAGACCCCAGGATTAAAATTGTTAGTGGAGATTGGATCAAGTCTGAACAATTGAAGCAAATCATGTACCTGGGGAGTTTACCTGATATGCCTTTCAGCTACCACAGAATTACTTTTAACTTGCTTTTTTTAGACTAAGAATTAGTTCCATAGGCAGTTTTTCAGGAAGTAGAGCAAACCATCAGAAAAATCCTATGCTAAACTTCGTTTGCTTTTAAGTCTTCTATGACATTTTTCTTTTTTTAAACCTTACTCTTGTAAGAGGGAATTTGGAACTAGTAATTTTGTATGTCTGGAGAATTATAGTGAAATTTTCTGGTATCTCCACCTCTGCATTTGCTTAATCTCACCATTTGTAGTTTATTCAGATCTTCATGCTGCTGCTGAAACTTGAAGTTGTACCTGTGCTTGTAGAGAGCTATCTTAGGCTTCTGAATTCTAAACCAGTGATTTAGATACATGTATCTAGGATGTAACACATACAATAAAAATGACTTAACAATTTACTATACCATATTTTTTGGCAGATGACGTGTCTGCATAAATAATATGCCCACACATACAACACACAGAGTGAAATTAAGTAAAACGCTTCTGGCATAGCACACCCATGCATATACCACGCATGTCTCATGACTTTTCCAGAAGTGAATTTCGGCCTCGTTCGCCCATTCTGCCATATCAGAGGAGTCAGATGATGATGATAATGAACGGACAAACTAAAATGGCCTATTTTAGGATGAAAACAATTTCTTTTGGAGACTTTTATTTGTTGAATTAAAAGACTGATTATGCAAAGTTATGTTTAAGATTTATAAAAACAATAAAATATAAACAACATCTTGTTCTTTTAGGCCTAGGATCATTTCTTACTTACTGATTTGTAGTTCTTTGCACATTCATGCTGTTTGGTTTCAACATGGCATTTGACTGCTCTCTTCCTGATATTTTATCAGGAAATCACAAAAATTTTGTATATCACTTTTGATCTACTGGTAAGTACTTTTGGCTTAAATTTCAAGTAGTATAAAATCAATACCTACCTTAAGTGAAGTTTTCATATGATCAGAAGTAGAAATTGAAGTCAGCAGCATGTAAAAAACAATTGGCTTAGCACGCTCATGAAAATAACCTGCGGGGGATTGCATGGTGGGCAAAAAAACACAACACGCACGTTATTGGGGTAAAAATAGAGTAATACTTAATAAAAGCCTTAATAAAAGTCAGACATCTCAGTAATGGCACTAGTCTTCTAGTTAATTCTGCCAACTTTTTTTTCCCCTACTCTGGGAAGCTGAATATTCTTACCAGAGTACTTCATATATTGAAACATTTTGATCTCTACTGGCATATGACCAAAAACAATGTGTACAGTTTTTTATTCTTGGTTTAGTTGTCTGAGCCCTAGTTAAAGTTTATGTATTGTTAAATTTAAATTGTGAGGATTGGACTCCTATGTACTTCAAATATTAAGTCCTCTTACTTTCTTTTAGACTTAATGAGTTGATGTTGCAGAAAACTGTATTTTGGATCAGTAATTTTCTTATTATATAAAGTATGTCAGCTAGTAATGCTTGGAGAAGCAGGGGGAGATGCTGATAGTCTCAAACTAGTAATTAGTGGTTTTGGAATAGGCTGGATTTTATAATGTTTATCTTCTATAGATTTTTAATTAGTGTATTCCCTTTAACATAGAACAGATGGCTCAGTGTGTTTCTGGGCTACCTCTCCTTTCTTCTAGTTTAGTATCAGTATTGCTGTGGATAATTAAGAATAACTAAGGTCTGTTTAGGGTTGTATGCTGCTATATGATTCATATATTCCTTAATGTGTATACATCTAGAGAATATATTTGATTGGAACGTTAAGCAGTTGTTTCTTTATTTATCAGCAGAATATTCAACAAAAAATAACGTAAGTATACATGTTTAAAATTATTTTAATAGCTGTTTAAAACATTGTTCTTTATGCAGCATGTAAACTTTGTATGTCAAAATATCTGACCTAAACAGCCTAGTAAAAAGCAGTAGAGGTGGTTCTAGTAAGAAGACTTTATCTCCTTTGAGAGCTGCTCTCTTTTTTTCAGTCTGCTCTGTAGTGCTCTAGCATTGTGGTCTCCACAGTGGTGTGCGTGCAAGGTAATCCATAGATAAAGAATAAACATTAAGAGCTTCTATTTAGATGTTAATACTTCTCAATTCAAAATAAAAGGGAGAGCACTTAAGCTTTACTAATACTTCCTGTATGGACTGACATTAACACTTGTGTTCAGTCCTTAAATGAGATGCTCACATGCCTCCTACAACATGGAAATATTCCGGAGGAAGAAGAGAAGAGGAATAGTGTAGGCCAAGAGGTTAACCATGCCACTTAGGTTCATTCATTCATTCACTTCAGCATTCTATGAAGTATTGCAGTGTATGTCCATTTAAGTGGATTGTATTACCTACTTTTAAGTAAACTAATCCTCCCAAAAAGAACAAATGTCTTTAAAAGATTTCTGTAAAGAAATCACAGGTTGAACATAATGCTAATGATCCAAACACATGCAAACAACAGGAAAAGGGCAGAGCTGATACTTATGTTTTTTTCTTCTGAACTGTAACTGTTCAACCATGTTACAGGATTAAAAACAAAACGACAACCTAAACAGATCTAATAAGAAGTTGGCTGAGATAATTCACCATTAGTCAGGAAGACTATTTGAAATACAAGTTTACATTCACTATCATTAATGATGGAGCTCTGGTGGCTTAGTGGTTAAGAGCGTCACTGCTGACCAAAAGGTCTGCAGTTTGAATCTACCAGATTCTCCTTCGAAACCCTATGGGGCAGTTCTACTCTGTCCTGTAGGGTCGCTATGAGTTGGAGAGTTGGAGTTGACTCTGGCAGTGGGGTCTTTTTTTTGATCATTAATGAGGAGTCCCTGGGTGATGCAAGTGGTTTATGCTCTTGACTGCTAACCAGAAGGTTGGAGGTTTGAGTCATCCAGAGGTGCCTTGGAAGAATGGCCTTCCAAACAATCAGCCATTGAAAACTATGGAGCACAGTTGTACTCTAAGCCACGTGGGATTGTCATGAGTCAGAATGGACTCAACAGCAACTGGCTTTTTTTTTTTTAAATCATTGATGATGATACTACCTAAGAGTACTTAGTTTGTACGTAAAAATGCGTCGTTTGCGTTCGTGCTCAAAGTCATTTGTGATCAAAAAGCCTTGGAGACTCCTTCCATGGTAAGATCAGAAAGGATGCCTGGGAAATGGGGAGGTACAATTCCTACTCAGCTATAGTACTTTCTTAGCTAAAATACTCTTTTCTTCACAGCTAAGATCAGAGAGAGAGGGCAAGATATTTGAATCAACAAAATTTGTAACTTGTGCTTAAAACTGTCATTACCCAAATGTTATAATTAAAATCTGTAAAGGTTACAATTTTTTGAATCATCTCAGAGATTATTTTAAAATCTATCTCCATACTAAATGCTGTATATATTTTCTTTTTTTAATGCATAGTGTCAGCTGTTTGGGGTAGTCTTATTAAGCCATATACCTACAATTAATTAATATTTCTGTTTATTGAGAAATATTTTCCTTTGTGATGAGGTTGTATGAGATTCACCGATTTGAGTACTTAAATTAGTCTTTTTAATCATAAGTTATAGTTTGAATAAAACTGTAAAGATTTATAATTAAAAACTATTAGCTATTAGATTAAAACCTGTTAAAACACTATTAAGACTAAGCTATTTATGATTGAAAGCTTTCAGTTCAGTCTGATTTAGAGCTTTTGTTGCTGATAGGGTAGCGGCTGAGATATTTATACAGACTGTTGCTAAAACAAGGAGCCCTCGTGGCACAGTGGTTAAGTGCTTGATTGCTAACCGAAAGGTCGGCAGTTCGAGCCCACCAGCCGCTCCATTGGTGAAAAATGTGGCAGTCTGCTTCTTGAAAGATTTACAGCCTTGGAATCCCTATGGGGCAGTTCTGCTCTGTCCTGTAGGGTCACTGTTGTCACTAGGTTTGTTGCTAAAATAGAAATCTTACGTCCTATTTTGGTGTTTATTTCTTAATTATCTGAAGTTTATTGTCCGCCTCAGTGCTCTCCACCACTAAGTTGGTAGTTCCTTTTTTAGAATTGGGATAGGAAATATAAAAAATCATGATCTCATTTGAGACAACTTTCTAGAATGCAGATACTCTAGGAATAAACAGTCAATACAACTGAAGTAACTTAACGTGCCTAGTTTAGAAAGGCTTGACGGCAAATATAAATGTACTTTGTTAGAAATATTTTAAAAGCTTAAATGTATTTTATCCTCCATGATATCACAGTCTAATTTCTGAAATTCTAAATGTATACTTGATACTGAAGGTATAAAGTGAATGGTTCTAGTAAGCGAATTAAGATATGAAAGTGAAATCTGTGGAATTAAAATCTGCTTGTGTTGTTTTTATTTGAGTTACCGTTATGTTTATCAACAGTGTAGCCTGCAGGTAACTTGTAGTTAAAGTTGGGTCCACTTTCTGCATTTTTTGGAACTATATTCATTTTTAAAGGGATAATAAGTTAATCACTTATCTATTTAACGGTTTCATTAGTTAACTGGGATTATATGTTTTACGCCAAGTATTTTGTTAGGCATTAGGAATATTGGGATAAATAAGTTTTCATCCTTATCCTTGAGAATCAACAAAATGTTAAAACCAACAGAAAAAGCTATTCCTTAAGATAAGAGTAACAATTATAAATACACATTGTTCTACAAGTCTCAAAAAATTATCCAGATTTGTATGCCACCTTCTTCATAACAGATGTACCCAAATTATATTCTTAATCCTGATTTACCCCAGCATGACTGAAAAAAACAAAAACCAAACCTGTTGCTGTTGAGTCGATTCCAACTCTTGGTGACCCTATAGGGCAGAGTAGAACTGCCCCATAAGGTTTCCAAAGAGCACCTGGTGGATTTGAACTGCCGACGTTTTTTTAGCAGCCATAGCGCTTAACCACTACACCACCAGGGTTTCCAGCATGACTAGTAGGTTAATACAGTTTGGAATTTACTTTGGTAACTGAACAGATCTACATAAAAAGTCCTTTCATGTCAGCATATCTTTGATTTTGTGTTCCTCAGTCTTGATGTTTCTTTTCAAAGTTAGAAGGAAGCTTTCAGATGGAGGTTTGAACCCTCCTTTAATCTGTCCCACTTTTTTTTTTCAGTTAATGTAGTTAGCGTACACTGAGCGTTTGGCCTTACAGGCTAATGGATGATAGCTTAATAAGGACAGCATTCCAGACATTTAGTGTTATTGTTGTGGTCAGTTGCTGTCTCGTCAAAAATGTGTTTTCTCTCCATTTTATGCCCCTAATTTTTTTCTCCCCCATTAAATAGGAGTTCTCTGTCTATGAATAGAAATGGAGCCCGTATATAATATGTTGAAACAATGGCTTTAGAAGAATTGACATCTAGAATTTTGCCATGATAAAACAATGATGTACCTATTTTTTTAGTTTAAAGGGAAAAAAAGATTTCTGAAGGGCTCCAGGAGCCCTGGTGGCACAGTGGTTAAGAGCTCGGCTACTAACTAAAAAGGTCATCAGCAGTGTGAGTCCATCAGCCGCTCCTTGGAAACCCTACTGGGCATTTCGACTCTGTCCTATAGGGTTGCTGTGAGTCGATGGCAACGGGTTTGGTTTTTTTGGTTTGAAAGGGCTTCATGTCTTTAGTGATTCTTTGATAATGTAAAATCTTTGGAGATTTATGAATTTTCATGACATAATCTGGCAGCAGTGGCATGTATTAACCGTGTGAAACTCTGCTTCCCTAGCACTCCTAGGTCCACACTGAGCTTGAGGGTCTCCGAAATCTTACAGGGAAAAGTGACTTAAAAGAATAACTTCCTTACCAGGGATTTTAATCCCCCTGTTCCTGCAAGGACCTCACTTTTTGGAGAGTGTATAGGTGTAAAACCTTCTATTAAACTATGAGAGTCTTAAGTAACACAGTTACCTTAGCAAAAGTAATGACTTCCTTAGGGAAGTAATCATTCTTTCTGTCCAAGGAAAGTTTGCCCTCTTTTTAAATCTGTCTACTTGTTATTTTGTATACTTTTAAGATTTTAGCAGTTCGCTCAAGGTTAGATTCATTAATATAAGTCAAACTAAATGCCTACCAATAGTTTTAATGTGAAGTGACAAGATGCTATTTCCAATGAGTTGTCTAATTAATTTTCGTTTTAATGTAGGCTTTGAACCAAGTTGTCCTTTGGGACAAGATTGTTCTGAGAGGTGATAATCCAAAGCTGCTGTTGAAAGATATGAAAACAAAATATTTTTTCTTCGACGATGGAAATGGTCTCAAGTGAGCAATTCTTTATATCATTTTTTTTTTTGTTTAGTGAGATGTAAAGGGGAAAAAAAGATGTAAAGTATTTTCATTTTAAAGAAAAATATTTAGAGGGTAAAAAGAGGAAAATTGTGAAAAAAGAAAAGTATATATGCAAACTTGAACTGGAAGACTGAGTAGTAAGACTGCCACATAAACTGGGATTTAAGATAGATGCCCAGGTCTCTTGCAGTATGTGAAATGTGGTAGTCAAACTAATAAAGGCTTATAGCTTCTACTCTTAAGTATACAGGGAACATGACCTTGCCCACAGAGGAGTAGGGCCTTGGTGTCAAATAAAGGCCTCCTTTCTGAACTCAAGAGGATCTTGCCAGGTAAACCTTAACAACAACAAGAACAAGAACAGCTTGTTGGCCTAGCAGGTGATGTGGAGGTATCCAGTACTGGTTCTCTTAACTTGGCTTCTGTGAACCTGTTTGTTCTCGTACACAATCAGGCAATTAGAATGATTGATCTCTCAGGTCATTTTTAGCTTGTATGCTCTATGAGTAAACGTTGGAAAGAACTTTAGGGAAGAGGCATCTTGACCAAACCTTCAGTTTTTGCAGGTGAAAAATTTTAGACCCATGAGAGATTATGACTTGCTCAGTTTTGCCCATCTAGATAGTGATAGAACTAGGTTTCAAATCAGTGTCTTCTGATTACTAGCTTGAGCCTCTTTATGTTCTCTGTGTTTTGCTCATTTAAGCTTTTTGTTGATAGTTCTAATAATTGTAACTGTAAATGAGTTTAGGTAGGTAATTATGGGATACCTGAAAATTTAGTGGTGGTGTTTTCCAGCATTGTTCTTAGATTTCAAGTGACATGAGAAAATGGTTGTGTTGAAGATGAATATTCCTGTTCGGAATAGTTGCTTATAAATAAAGAATTTGACATCTAGTGTTTGAATTAAAATGTGTTTATTGAATTACAAATGCTTCTGTTCACTTCTGTTTATTATATCTTTTTACAGGGGAAACAGGAATGTCACTTTAACTCTATCTTGGAACGTTGTACCAAATGCTGGAATTCTACCTCTTGTGACAGGATCAGGACACGTATCTGTCCCATTTCCAGATACATATGAAATAACGAAGAGTTATTAAATTATTCTGAATTTGAAACAACATATTTTTATACTTCACGAATCGTATCTCATTTATTCCCTTGCATCTTCATTTGCTTTTGGTTGTTTTTTTTGTTTTTGTTTTTTTATAAGAACTAATATCAAAAGGCATATTTGAAGGGAAAGGTTAATGGGCAACTTGAACTTAATTTTATAAACCAAACAAGCAAAGAAGGCCACCAAAGTGGAGTATTATAAGAATAAGACAACTTCATAACAAGAATTTGTAAAAAACATGTATTTGAAGTATTCCCTGTGTTTCCATTACTCTTTATGGAATGTAACATGAGCATGAAGGGTAGTTAAACTTTTGGCTGTCTCTAGAGTCATAAGAACTCTGTATTTTATGCCTTCTGTTCATGCAGATTCACATTGGATGGGATTTAGAAGTAGACATTCTCTTTTCTCTTTTTTGGGGAATGTCTGATTACTGGAAAAATTATTTGTTAGAAGCCTGGCTTTACAAAATAGCCAAAAATGATGAAATTTTATTCCACTTATTTTAGGAATGCCCCTAATTCATGCTTTTCTTGCAGGTGACTGTCAACTTTCTCCACTTAAAGACTAAATACCTCTTTATATGCTGTAACTCATTCTGACTCATTTTAAAGTCTCATAAGTCAACCAAATGTGTGTCTTTCAGTGCTTTTTCTTAAAATATTCCTTTGTATTATATCTCTCTGATTTTTTAGCATTGTCATTGAAAGTTAAAAATGTTCGCATGGTTTCTTCCCTGAGTCAGGTTTGTTCTAGTGAGCATGCCTAGTGCCACTGTGTGGTAATTATTTAACATTTCCTGTAGATCCATATTTTATTAATTATTGGGTGATAATAATAACCAGTATTTGTGGTGTACTTTTCCATTTACAAAGCACTCTCATGTATTTTCATGTGTGCTGTCCTCAATAATCTAATGAGGTAGGTAGTACAAGTGTTATCCTTGTGGCAGATGAAGAAATGGAAACCTAGTTTATTGAATTGCTCAAGGTCAAATAGCTAGCAAGGAATGGAGTTACAACTTGAACGCAGATCCGACTCTCTAAACTTACCCTTCTCGTATACCTCAGATTACAAGCTAATCAAAACTCACTTACACTTTTCATTATGTTTTTTGTTACCCTGGATACCCTTTCTTCTACCACTCCTAGAAGAGGTTTTCTCATCCTCTGTGAAAGTGACTAATTTTCAAGCTGTCAGCAAATTAAATGTAGAGGTAATATCTCATTTTATTCTTTGCATAACTTCATTTTCCTTATATTAAAAGTATTAGAAAATCTACGAGTATCTAAAAATAACTTAGAGATTAAATACATAATATATGATTATGTGATCATATTTGATAAGAGTTTTTCTGCAGTGGGCAAATAAACATCCTCAAAGGTAACAACTTGCAAATCAGCTTACCCTTCAGAGCGAGACCAAACACTGTAGTTACACAATGAGCAGTAACCAAAAGGGCTACAATTTTCTAAAGCTGGTTTAAAGTAATAGCTAACGTTTCGTTATATTAACCTCATATTAAAAAAAAAAAAAAATCCACCATTTAATTACTACATTAGTTTTACCAGTTATTGTATGTAGTTGTACAGTTCATGTAGAAGCCTGTGTGCATGACTTCAGACCAGCAGAAAGGTCAGAGATATAGTATCATGAACACTAGACTGGATTTACCTCCCAGCTTTTCATTAAACCTTCCAGGTTCTCAGTTTCTTTGTCTGTAAAATGACTGTTGGACTAGATAACTTAAATGGTGGTCCTTTTACACCACACAATTCTGTAAAATTGGTTGTATCTGTTCAGCAAAGAGATTGAACAAAGAAGCACCTTATTAATGTCAGCATGGGAAGGTGAAAGGCTAGCATAATTCATATTGATCTGACTTTATTTTTGTTAGATTTTACACTGAGAAAATCTAACTTCATTTAGTTTGTACAAATACTAGACATGGAAACTTAAAATCTGCAGGCATCAAAGCTTAAGAATTATGTTTCCAGTAAGGAAGGCATGCATAATAAGCTTACAATCTCAGCCAGACCTGGGTACCAGTTTAATAGCTCATTATACCTCTTTAGCGAGTGAATCTGTCAGTTTGGTAGAGGTGAATGTTAACATTTACTTGAGTTACAGTTTATCTTATTTGACAAACCCACTTTTTTAGAGTCTGGTGAGGAAGAGAAGTAGAAGGGCCCAGCTAGCCCAATGAAGAATTAGTTTTTTGTTTTTACTTAATTAAGGGAAACTGCTCAGGACAAGAATGCTCCAATATGGGAATAAGGAACCGCCGTCTCAGGAACTCACCTTTGGGTGTGTACAGCTGTATTAGTTTACTGTAATACGTTTTAAAAATTGGCTTCTGTTCAGTGTCATAACCATATCATCTACCTAGTGTCAGTGGTTTAGAAGAAGGCTCATAAAGTTTCTAAAAGGACATGAAGCTTCAGACTTAGGAAAACTTCAATAGGGCTAGAAGTGTCTGAGCCCAGAGGTGGTTCTGGGGAAAGAGAATAATAATTACAAGACACTGACTCGAAGTAATTTTGGTTAGAAATGAATTAGTTTTAAAATGTAGTACTCAAATACCCCTTTTCTCTAGTACGTTAGCCTAGACAAATAGTTATTATCAATGTTTTTTATTCCCCTGTTGATTTGTGCTTAAAGGAAGATAACAAAACTTCAGAAACTCTTTAGGATGTGATAGGAAAGTGGGTTATTTTGAATTTCCTTTCTTGTAATTATTTTATAGTTCTTATGGTGCATCTGGCTAGCCTGTTAATAATGCCAAGAGATGGGCTTTAAGGTTAAAATGATCATTTTTCAATATTGGCTTCTATCTAAAGCTTAGCGATCTAAAGCTTTGGCTCTTTGGGGTATAGGTTAATGCAGGTGTTATTTTATAATACTTTGAATTAACACGAAACAGGTTTATGGGAAAAAACCATAAACTGTGAACTTCCATAGTAAATACCTATCCATTTCAAAAGCTTTCCTTGCTTTTAGCAGAGAGCCTGTGTACATTATGTGTGACTGCTGGCGGTTTAAAGAGATCTATTTCAAAAAGTTGTTGCATGTTTTTAATGCAATTTGGGAAATTGTTTAATTCACAAGTACAGATTCATAAGAAAAAAAAATTCATGAAAATACTGAAGATGTGTTTGAGGATTTTCTTAATTGCAATAAATACTCAGCATTTTTTTCTAATGAAAATGAATTTTGTTTACGAGTAAAAGTATGCATCTTAAAAGACTTTCAGATTTATGCTTTTTATGTGAAGCTGCTGAACTAAAAGTAAATGGAAGAAACCAAATCTAGTAAACTTTTCCTCAGAAAAAGAATTTTTAATTTAATTGTTTTTGGGGGTGGGGTGGGTGGGGGCAGGTTAATTTACACCTAAAAAAGCTTCTCCAGAGACTGTACTAGACTGTAAGCTCTCTGAGGGCAGTCTGTCAGATTTACATCTTTGTATCTTTCTCAGAGCCTCCTGTAGTGACTTGCACATAATAGGTGCCCAATAAATACTGATGATGAATGAAGTCATTGTGTTTCTAATGTGACCAAACCTTGGGGACTGTTTGTAATTAACACTCTTATCCTTTGTAAATTTAGCCTTTTTTATTCTTGAGCTCCTGGTGACATTAAAGGACTGTTGTTCCTCTTTCCTTTCTAGCTGATTTGGACTGTCCAGTCAAGGCAAATAAATACTGCTCTTGCCCCAGTTGCCTATGGCCAATGTTCTCTCAGTCTTTTGATAACAAGAGGTCAGAGTGATAGTGGCTGGTTGACAGAATTGATACGTAGATTGCTTCACTTTAAAAAGCTGTAGGAAACCATAACATAGACTGGACTTTAAAATCTCAGGCAGAAATGGGTCAAAATACATAGCTGACTCCACCTGCTGGCACATAATCCACCTTCCTCCACACATCCCGCTTGAGGGACTGCCAAACCCCCTGAGTTGGGGAATTCGATGTTTCCTCCTCAGCTATCTCAGAAGAGAGAGGAATTTCTCAGGAGAAATGTTTGCCAGTGAATTTGGACACTCAAAAACTCCTTCAAAAGAACAGAAAATCAGTGAGTTTAAAGGGCTTTTTTTTTTTTTAAACCTAATTTTCTTTCTGGGGGCTAGCTAAATTTTGCTTTTGTTTTCTCCCAAACTGGGGAATCGTATGTGAGAACTTTCTTCAGTCCTTAGACGGTTTTCCTCACATTCCTTTGTCCATTTCCCTCTCTCCAGGTGAGGTGTTAAAGCAAGCATTCTGGGTTCAGTAGACCATTGCCTGACTAATGGGTCATCTAGCAGAAGGACAACAGCGTATCCGAGTCAACTTCGTCCTCGAAGTAACTTCTCAGCTGGGCCTTTCCTTCCTGTTTGAAAATGGCAGAGGGGTATTTTCCTTACCTATGTGTAGTTTATACGTATCCCACTTGTATATCTGTATAGTGTAGTTGAAGACAGGCATTTGGGAGTTGAAAACTAAAAGGGCTGATTAGTAGTATATATTTGAGACAGGGATCCTCTGCTCCATTCTTCAAGACTACCACTTATGTGCCCCTCTGCCCCACCCCTCTGCTTGTTAAGGCTTGGAGTGGCTGTAACCTACCTGGTAAATGCGTGAGTGAGTACAAAGGGGGAAGGAATCTAATGGCTGTGGGTGGGGAGGAAGAGGGTTTTGAGATACTCTGAGGGGTCTGAAACAGTCATCTTCAACTTAGAGGGGATTTGACACAGTTAGAAGGCTTCCCACAGTTGTGTTGAGCGTCTCCCAGCTTTGATACGTCTGCCGTTTGTCCCATTGCTGCAGCCTCTGCCGCTGCTGTAATAATCCCTAATGGCTATAATCTGTGTAGGTAGAGACAAGCACAACTATTAATCTGGTGAATCTCGCTCACTTTTTATTAAAAGTTCATTAAGTGCCATTATATTAGGAGAGTCTGGTTGCTGCCTGTTACTCCTTGGCTCAAAATTTGAGGGCCCAGTTAAGTATTAGAATAACATTAACTGCTGCAATAGATAACATCAAAATTTCAGTAACAGAGGAAAAGAAAAATGTTATTTCTGCTCACAGAAGGAACCCATGTGGGTGCTCAGGCAACTTTCCACATGATGTGACTGACGGACCCAGGTGCCTTCCATCTTTGGGTTCTGCCACCCCGAGGCTCACCATCCTCGACTTCACGCGGGCCGACCGGGGTTGGGGAAGAATGTGGAGAAGACTCTCCTGCTGAATTAGCTTGGCTCAGAAGTGTCACCTATCACCAGCCCTTTTTCCTGGGGTGAGATTGAGTTACATGGCCCCACATAGATGCAAGGAATATCTGGGGTGTAATTTTTATTTGGGCAGTCACTTTTCAGAAACAGCTATGCTGTGAGCGGGGAGCACGACTGCATATCTTGCCGTCTCTTACTTTTCTGCTTGTGCTCACCAGTCTCACTTGATGGACCCACTGTACCGCCCCAACAAGCATAACCAGTGACTCACTGTGAACACACACACACACACACACACTGTACTTTTCTTTTTTTTCTATGTCTTGTCTGGTGTGCAGCGGGTTTTCTGAAGGAGAGGAGCCTATTAAATTTGAAGAGTTGTCAGGCGTGAGAGTTGCCTGAAAAGTCTAATATTTCTAGGCGAGTACTCTGTCCAGAACTTAGAGTCATTTTTAGTTTTATGAAGTTTATATCTTGAGGTTTTTTCCTGGTTGCTGCTATTTATATCACTTCATTTAATTCAAATATGCAAAAGGTCTCTCTTGGTGAATGCTGCTGAAAGCGGCTGCCCAACTTTGATCCAAAGTTGCCCTTGCTACTTGGACTTGGAAGAGATACATAGGAGTGGGGCTTTGTCCCCCAACCATCACCGTTGATTTCCTTGCTGAACCTCAAACTTGCCAAGCTGGTTCTCACTGCAGGGTCTTTGCACTTCCTGTTTCATCCTCCTGGAACATTTCCTCAGTCCCTCATTCCCTTACATGTAATCTTATCCAAGGTCTTCCCTGACCACCCTTCCTAAAATCTCCTGTAAGTCATCCTTTCACTCTGCAGCAGCATTGTTTATAGCTCATATATATGGGTGTGTGTACATAAATATATTTAAATTTAATTTCTTGGTAGCAAGAACTTTATTTTGTTGTCATATCTGTAGTGCTACATATGGAGCACTTAAATACTTGTTGCATGAATTAATGAAAAGGAAATCAGAGAGTGTGATTAATCAATTTTACTTAGTTTATACATGCGTTTTGTCTGATGCAGGATGGCATTTCAGAACATGATGGATTTTCCAAGGATAAATAAACCGGTTATTTACTATAAAAAGTTATGATAATATCTCTTCATGATAAAATGCTTAATATTCAAATGATAGAAAGGATAGAGTTATAGAGTAGCTTAAATTTGAAACATGTTTGACAAAGAACAATCATAAATCCTTATAAACTTATGCCTTTTTAAAATTTTCAGTGGGAAAAAAATACAGAAAAATGCATGAAATATTTGTGGACAGTTTAATGAATAATTACAAAGCATGCACCTCTGTAACCACAATTCAGAT